CATATCAACATATTTTTTCATATTTTTTCATATTTTTTAAAATATTCTGTTAAGATAGATCACATTTTGAAAATCTAATTTTATATATTTATGTCCCCTGTCACCATAGTACCAAGACACTCAAAGCACATTAAGCTAAACGTATTCATCTAAGAAAAAAAGAGAGAGAGAGAAGATCTTCCTGAAATTGTTCTTTTCCCAAGCCATCATTTAATGCACACTAACTACAGAATTTTCTTTTATGGAGGCCTAACATCATCTGTTCATTTGAAAATAGAATATGCTTTTTCAGGATAAAATAGACTCTTGTTTTTAATAAAAATGGTCCTTGACTTACTGATACTCTGTTGTAAATAAGTGACTTTAAAGAGTTTTTATCATTTCAGTGCTGTTATTGTGCTTCATTTCTCAGTAAAAGTATATGTAATACGGCACAAACATCCACAGGTGCTTCTGTTTTATGTGGTTAAGAACCTCTTAAACCTTAAACACCCAAGGAAGTTGGGTGCCTGATAACAGAGCAGATGGTTTATTTCTGCTCCTATTTACAACTTTATTTATTGTTTTTTGTAATTTTCATATTTTTCATACTGGTATCATGATTAATACTCCTTTGACCTAAATCATAAAGGGGAGAAAAGAGAATAAAACTAATTTCCTGTTGAGTGTGTGCCATGTGCCAGGCCCTCTACCAGATTCTTTTATACATTAGGCCATTTAGGAACTCCTGTTTAGTAGAACTCCAGGATTCATATTTTTACAACAAAGACACAAAATCCTGCAAATTTACATATAAAATTAAGTACCTCAAATCTAATTCCGCTTAAGGAACCACCTATTGAATTTCAGTTTTCCCCAAAGGATGAGGGCTGACATAGAGTTAAATATAATGTTCAGCTTTATTTCTTGATTCCAGTACAGTTTCACAGATGACTTTTGATCTTATTAATGTGAATTTATATTAGATTATTAATTTAGTTTTAAATATCAAATCATAGCCCTGGCCAGGTAGCTTAGTTGGTTAGAGCATCATTCCAATATGCCAGGATTGTGGGTTCCATCCACCATTAGGATACACACAAGAATCAACTAATGAATGCATAATATCAATAAGTGAAAAAAATTTAATTGAATATCAAATTATATAGTACTGACTACCATATTTATCTGTTAGGATCCCTGTATTTTATTTATTTATTTTGTTATTACTTACCCAAAGGTATTTTTTCTATTGATTTTTTTTTTTTTAAGAGAGAGTAGAAGGGATGGGCAGAGAAAGAGAGAGAGAAACATTGATGTGAGAGAGAGAGTGAGACATTGATTGGTTGCCTCCTGCACATGCTGCAACCGGGTCAGTGATTGAACCTGCAACTTGTGACCCTTCAGTGCATGGGCTGACACTCCAACTACTGAGCACACCAGCCAGGACAGGCTCCCTTTATTTTTAAAAGGCATTGAACTTTTATTTAAGTAACCATAATAGAATTTTTTTCCAGCACAACTAGATCTATTTTTACAATTTATTAAAATAATTCTTAATCATTTTGCCTTTGATTGGAATTGTATTTCTAATTCAGAGTGAGATGTACATGTATGTTCATTTTCATTTATAACTAGAGTAAGCAAAGTTTTATCCCATAATTCTTTTTTTTTTTTAATCCTCACCCGAGGACATTTTTGTATTTATCTTCAAAGAGAGCAGGAGGGAGAGAAGGAGGGAGAGAGAGAGACACACTGATCATCGATGTGACAGACACATTGAGTGGTCGCCACCCACACGACCCCAACCAGGGCTGGGGACAAACTGCAACCAAGGTATGTGCCCTTAGCAGGAACCGAACCCAGGACTCTGGTCTACGGGCCGATGCTCTCACTGCTGAGCCAAACAGGCCAGGGCCATCCCATAATTCTAATGAAATGTAGAATACTTAGTTTGTAAGAATAAGTTCTGGAAGTCTGGGTTCAGTAATTTTAGAGTTAGAAGTGAACTTTAGCCCTGACCGGTTTGGCTCAGCGGTTAGAGCGTAGTCCTGCGGACCAGAGAGTCCTGAGTTTGGTTCCTGCTAAGGGCATGTACCTCGGTTGCGGTTTGTCCCCAGCCCTGGTTGGGGTTGTGTGGGTGGCAACCAGTCGATGTAGACACATTAATGTTTCTTTCTCTCTCTCTTCCTACCTTTCTCCCTCCCACTCTAACTGAAGATAAATGCAAAAATGTCCTCTGGTGAGGATTTAAAAAAAAAAGAAGTGAACTTTATATTAATCAACTCGTCTTGGGCCTGTTTTACAGATGATGAAACTGAGAGCCAGAGAGGTAAAATGGATTATATGAAAAGAGTCACTAGGTTAGTGATGTTTCAGAAGTAAACCATCAGTTAAAAGAACAAATCTATTTTTGCTTTTGATCTTCTAAGGAAAATTCCAAAACAAAACAAAAAAAAAACATTAAAGGAAAACTAATTTAAGAAGTTAAAATTGTTTTTAACCTAACTAACTTCTCATTTTGAAGTGCTCATTTGGACAACTACAAAACATGAATGGTCGCATGAGCCCATTTCTTTGCCTGGTAATGAATTTGGCAATTCAGTTTTAAGTATGCATACTTGTACAAAATATCTAATATTTGGTGATACTACTTGAGGAAGATTTATTTCTTCCTACTGTGTGCATGAGCAGACTGGTTTCTTAGCTGTGCAGTTCTTGTAAGAGATGAGGGACAAGAAGAGCCCAATGTCCATATAAGTGGCCATTTTTCTAGTTGTACTGGGCTGCTAAATATGCTGCTGTTTAGAAATTTTGTTTAGGAATTTTGCCTAGGGAATCTACCCCAAGTAAAAGTGAAAATTAAAGGGAGAACTTCTACTCCTCCATGGGGTAGATTGGTTGTCTTCACAGCTCCTGATGGAAAAATTCTTTGTCACAAAGCTACAAGTAGATGTCTGTGCTTACCACCGCAAAGAAGATGATAATTACTTGACCAATGAAGGGATTAACTTACTACTTCTCGGGGTTCTGATTTCTCATTCACATAAATTCTTTCAGTGATAGAGCTTCTTTCAGGCTCTAGAACCAGGAGAAGTCTGGCCCCTTCAGCACAACCAGATGTCCAAGCACTATTCTACTTATTCCTCCCCACAGTGAGGACTGGAAAAAATAAATAGATATTTTCAGGTTGCTTCAGTCTATATGTGTGGCTTGTTCCTGGTATTAAAGTGTTTTATCTATTAGTTCTTATTTCTTCAGATCATAGCAGCTTAGTTTTTCTGTGACCTTTCCGTGGACCAGGGATAATCATCTTCTATTAAAAGATATTTCATTTTAACATTTTATATGTGATACTGAATTGTGCTGCTCTATTCCATTTTTCAACTCCCTACACCTAACATGACTGTCAGGGGCAGAATGGAAGCAAAACTTCAGTATTTGGGAGCTTTCAATTTGGAGGCAAATCTTCCAAGTGTGTTCTTCTCACAGTCTTTACCTGTTCCCATCTCTCCTCACTGGCCCACTACTTGGTAGGAGTCATAAGGTTGACATAAGATTATAGACTGGATTAGTAGGGAAACTTTTGTTCACTTTTCTTTTATATTTAAGTGTCTCTATTTTGTGTAAGTTATTAGGTAAATAAGTATACTGAGTAGTATAAATGAGTTATTACATCAAGAAAATAAAATCTAAATCTCAGCTTTCTAACTAATTGGATTCTTTCCCTTTCTTGTCTCACATGGTTATGCAAGCATTAAAGCATTGTAAAGTACTGGGCAACTGTGTGATATTACTAGAGCACAGAAAGAAATTACAAAAAGATGTGATAGACCCAGGTTGTTATTGGTTACTTGGCAGGAGGGGAAAGTGGGGGGAAGGTCATACCTACAGGCCACATTTGGAGCATACACACAGGTAAAACAATAAAAACTCAGCTGTAGATGCTCTGAAGTCAGAGGAGACATCCCAGAATATGCTACAGAGTAAGTCCCAACTTTTGTGGGGTACCTTTTCTCAGAAAGTCTACAAAATAAGGGTGCTATATGGAAATAATTATGTTTAGATATGGACAATTCTTTGTATTGTGAAAGTTTAAAATCAAAATTAAACTGGCTTAACTTTCCTCCCCCACAAAAAGGAATTTTATTGACTCATGTATCTGAAAGACCAGGAAGAGGTCTTCAGGCTTAAGCCAGGGTTCAAACAGCATAACTAGCACCCAGTTTTTATGCTTTCCATTTCTCAACTCCATCTTAGCAGCCTCTCCTCTCATTATCCTAGAGCTACATGCTTCCAGGTTCAAGTTCAGATGGAAAGAATATGGAACTCTTCCCCAGAAGACCTAATAAAGATCTCTTGCATCTCACTTCACTCTGAATGGATCGTGTTTTCATCCTTGAATCAATGCCTGTTCATTAATTGGCTTAGATCTAAATAAATTCCACCAGAAACACATGGGCCAAGGGTGGGGCAAGGGATAGTTCTCTGGAGGCCAATTAGAGTGGGGTCAGCATTAGACGGATTAATGACTACTGGGCATCAAAAGCACCAGGTGCCCACATAGGTGTGTAATTATGCAAACATTTATATTGCTTAGAATTATGAACAAAGCTCTTGGACTTTATGGTATGTCTATCTGAAATTGCCTGGCAAAGGTCATGCCCATACTGATGCTGTCTGTGGAATAAGATTTAATTTGCTGAATGATATGTAGCTCATATAGCCCTCTAGAAAAAAAAAAAAAAGGACTCTCTCAGACTGTCAGGAAGGTTGAAGAAACTAGTTTTAGAATCAATGACTCTTAGACTTCAAACGGGCTTCTTCTTTCTCCCAAGATCAGCCAATGCTGATTTACAGCGTATCTCAGGTATAGAAAATGGAGTGAGTGCAGAGTGGCCTAGTCAGAAAGCCTATTATGTGTGCTCATAGACTTGACTAGGGTCTAGGATTTGCAATAAGTAATTTTAAATCTTATTTTTTAAAGGCCAATTTTAATTTGTTGACCCTTATTTAAACAGGGACTTCCAACGAGTCAATGCAAAACATCCCACATTATCTACAAATAAATGAAATACTACTAATCAGCGATCAAGAATTTCTCCCATGCCATATAATGGATCAGCATTGGAAGTTCTATGTGGAATGTGAGGAGCCAACATTCTAAAGCCTTGTTTTCTTAATAATGTATTAGGTATTTGTTCATATTATTAACTAACATTCATATTTCACCTTTGTGGTCTGGTGGGCCTATTTTAACACACACTTAAGATGTGTGTTTACTGTTGTAAGAAAAATCGTAACTCTTCAACTACTGAAGTAAGATTAATACTTTTTGCCATTCAAATAAAAGCATTTTTGAAGGAAGCCATATTGTCTCTCTGGCTTTCTTTTTACTAACATAAGCTTAAAACTAATCTTTCAATCAACACCTCTACCTTTGTATAAATAACAGTTATTCCTTAAGGGAATGTAAGCATACAAACAAGAGTGATGATTGGTCCCAAAAAGGCCTAGGTAAGGTGAATCTACTTCAAACAAGAACTTAAAGTCCCAATATTGTATTTGAAAAAACCATGATAGAGTGAAGCCGCGAAAGTTGCAGCGAGAAGCGGTGAGGGACGACTGTACCTTTTTCCATTTACTTTTAAATTTATCTTGAAATAAAATTTTGTAATTATTAAAGAGGCTTATTTTAAGTTTTGTAAAATTTAGCATAAATACAATTATAACTGTACTGTGTCTTAGAACAAAAAATGAATCAAGTGTCGATTTGAGGGCTGATTATTTTAAACAGGATGTAACTCATCTTTGACTTCTGCTATATTTTCATGAAGATTTTTTAAAAAGATATATTCAAGAGCATTATAAGTTTTCTCAAGGGTCTCTTAATCCTTAATAGTTATATTATTCTTCACTTATTCATCATCACCCCAGAATCTCAAATAAGCTTCTTGCCTCTGTGGCCTAATTCTATACCTTCTCTTTTACTTAGGTAGAATAGTCAAAATTGCGATTAAAATTACTCTAGCAAGTGCTAGAATTTGAGGGGAAATGGAGAGGAGATGTGCTGGTGGTGTTTTTGATGTTTCTTATTTTAAATGTATATACTTTTAAATATCTTTATCATTAACAGTTGCCTGTGAGGAGAAAAATTATGCGCCTGGGGAACTAAGGGTAAAGGAAGACTTAACTACATATACCTTTTGGCAAATTTTGAAATTGGTACTACGTGTGTGTTCTTTCTATTCAGATAAAAATATTTAGTAGCTGAAAAGAAGCACCTGGAAAGATTTACCTATTAATAAAAGTACAAAGACATATTATATTAGATCATTTTATTTTTCTTCCTTTGAGAGTCCATTGAAAATGTTCAGGATAGAATGACCCTTCAAGTTGTAATGTTTGAGAAGTGAAAAGAATTTTACTATTCCATCATAATTTTCTTAGGCTACCCTATTTTTCTATTTCTTGAATAGTCTACAAGAGGTAGTCTATTTGGCTTTTATTATTTAAAGAGATATTTAAAACATGGGCCCTTTGGGAATATATGTACTAACATGGAAATTGTACATACAAATAAGTGAAAAATGAAAATTGTTAGATAATGTTTAATACAAATATTGGTTGTTTTAAATAAATAAGAATGATATGCCTTTGAGTGCATATATAATATATAGCCATATAAATATATATTTATATTAAGTATGCTATATATACTGTATAAGCTATTAAATGTGTATTTGTATGTATAAGTGTGTAGGGGATGGAATATGTTGAGTAAAAGGTCTGGAATGCTGCAAATAAAACAATGTGGTGACAGTTCCTATGGATATTTATTTTATTTTATTTTTCAGTTACAGTTGACATTCAATATTATATTAGTTTTAGGTGTTATACATAGCAATTAGACATTTATGTAACTTACAAAGTGGTCACCCTGATAAGTCTGGTACCCACCTGGCACCATAGTTATTACAATACTATTGACTAAATTTTCTATGCTGTACTTGATATCCCCATGACTATTTTGTAACTACCAATTTGTGCTTTTTAATCCCTGGTGGAAGCATACTTTTGCAGTTTACTTTTAACTTAAAAAGAAATACACGCAAGATTTCCAAAATTGTGGCAGAGTGAATGGAAGCTGCACAGACCATTTCCCAGGACCAAATTGGAATTACAACTAAAATAAAGACAAATCATAGGGGAAAAGCAACAGAAAAGCAGCTAGAGAGGACTGTATAACCAGGGACAGGAAAAAAGGACACAGAATTGAGCCTGGTAGATCTGTAGAGGCATGAGAGGGTGGGCTGGGAGACCACAGGCAGCAGGTGTTTTAGCAGTGAGCAGCTCTCTCAGAGTTAAAATACCAAGCTGGCTGCACAGTGCAGAGGGCCGGGACAGAGCACAAAATTAGCTACAGCCACTACCTTGGGAGGGTGGACTGGGCTGGAACTCTGTGGGGGCCCAGGATTTGCAGGGCCCTCAGAGTTTTTGCTGAGTGCACAGGATGGTGGCCACCTTGCTCCCTCCCAGAGCTCTGGGGAGAAGCAGCAGCTCCTCGCTCGGAGATTCAACCCCACCCAGCTGGGCCAAAGAAATGCAAATTGAGGATCATTAACAACCAGCAGCTGCCCCACCATCAGGAAATCCCCTTATACTGAACACCTGAGGGAGTTTTTCATACAACTGAGAACCCAAGGCTCTTCAAGTAACTGCTACTGATAGCCTCCAGGCAGAAAGCTAGAGGATAACTGAACCTTTTCTGAGCTTGCAAATCTACCCAGGAAAGTAAGACTTGACAGTGGTGTTTAACGTGGGTCCTCCCACGTTCATCCAAACCCAGGAGAGGGAGCCACAAACAGCAGAACACCAACACCCACGGGGAAAATTTAGCAGGCTCTAAAGCCCACTGTGATAGCCAAAATGGTGGAACAAAGAAAAAATGCCAAATGAAAGAACAAGAGTCCTCTATCGAAGACGAGATAAATGAAATGCAGTTAAGCAAGTTATCAGAGGTAGAGTTCAGAGCCATAGTCTTGAGGATACTCAACAGCATGAGTAAGGACATCAACACCATGAGTAAAGATATAGAAACACTGAAAACCAACCAATTGGATATAAGGAATGACATAGCAGAATAAAGAACACATTGGAAGGACTAAACAGTAGAGTAGAGGAAGCTGAGGACCGGATCAGTGAATTAGAAGACAGGGTAGAAAAAAATCAACCAATCAAAAAACAAAAAGTAAAAAACAATTTAAAAAAAGGAAGACGGCTTCAGAGAACAGTGGGACAACTGGAAACATGATAATATTCGCGTCATAGGAGTTTTCATAGAAGAAGAAAATGAGCAAGGGTTAGAGAATATATTTGAAGAAATAGTGACAGAAAACTTCCCTAATTTGGTGAAGGAAGAAGGCATTTAAGTTCAAGAAGCACAGAGAGCCCCAAGTAAGAACCCAAACAGGCCCACACCAAGACACACAGTAATAAAAATGCCAAAAATTAAAGACAAAGAGAGAGTCCTAAAGGCAGCAAGAGATAAGCAACAGGTTACCTGCAAAGGAACCCCCATAAGGCTAGCAGATAACTTCTCAACAGAAACACTATAGACCAGAAGGGAATGGCATGAAGTAATCAAGGTCATGAAAAACATAGAGCTGAATTCAAGACTACTGTATCCAGCAAGGCTATCACAAAAAAAGGCTACGGGAATATACTTCAGCACTGTAAGATGTTAAAAGTACTGCTGCAATCAGTAGAAATAGGAAGAAAATTATAACCACCATAAACCAAAATGATAATAAATAAGTACATATCAATAATCACCTTAAATGTAAACGGACTGAACGCCCGATCAAAAGACACAGAGTAGCTGATTGGATAAGAAAGCATGACTCACATATATGTTGTTTACAAGAGACCCACCTCTTTTTTTTTTTTTTATCCTCACCCGAGGACACTTTTCCATTTTTTGTTCAGATAGAGTGAGAGGAAGAGGAAGAGAGAGAGAGAAACATCGACGTGAAAGAGACACATCGAGTGGCTGCCACCCACACGACCAACCAGAGCCGGGGACAAACTGCAACCGAGGTACGTGCCCTTAGCAGGAACTGAACCCAGGCCTCTCTGGGCCACAGGCCAACGCTCTAACCACTGAGCCAAACTGGCCAGGGCAAGAGACACACCTCTTAACAAAAGACTCACATAGGTTGAAAGTGAAGGGATGGAAAAATAATATTCCAAACAAACAGAAAGGAAAAGAAAAAACTGGGGTAGCAATACTCATATCTGATAAAATAGAGTTCAAAATGAAGGCCATAACTAGAGACAAAGAAGGCCACCACATGATTTTGAAAGTATCTATCCAACAGGAAGATACAACCTTGATAAACATATATGCACCCAATATAGGAGCACCAACATATATTAAAAATCTTCTGGAGGAATTCCAAGGAGAAATCGACAGCAATACAATCATAGCAGGGGACTTCAACACCCCACTGACATCACTGGATAGATCCTCTAGATAAAAAGTTAACAAGGAAACAGAGACTCCAAATGAAGCACTAGACCAAATGGATTTCATAGATATCTACAGAGAATTACACCCCAAAACTAGAGAATTCACATTCTTCTCAAGTGCACATGGGACATTCTCAAAGGTAGACCACATGTTAGGAAACAAACTAAATCTACAAGTTCAAGAAGATTGAAATCATATCAAGCATCTTCTCAGATCACAGTGGCATGAAACTAGAAATCAATTGCAACAAGAACATGCAAAGACATTGAACACATGGAGGCTAAATAGCATGTTATTAAACAATGAATGGGTTACCAAGGAGATCAAGGAAGAAATTAAAAACTTCCTGGAAACCAATGAAAATGAACACACAACAGCATAAAATCTATGGGATGCAGCAAAAGCAGTTTAAGAAGGAAGTTCATAGCACTACAGGCCTATCTCAAGAAACAAGAAAAATTCCTAATTGACTATCTAATCTCACAACTTGAACAACTAGAAAGCAAACAAAAAGAAAACTCCAGAGCAAATAGAAGAAAGGAAATGGTAAAGATCAGAGCAGAAATAAACGACATAGAGACAAAAAAAAAAAAATTCAAAGGATCAATGAAACAAAGAGCTAGATTTTAGAAAAG